GATACTATCAGAGTCTAATTTTTGCTAATCTGATAGGTGAAAAATGGTATCTCATAGTGGTTTTACTTATATTTCTAAAATTAGGGTCTATTTGAATTTCTTTTTGTGTGAACTGCCTGCTATATGTTGGTATATGAACTCCATCAAAATTAAGGAAATTAGCTCTTCGTTGTTACGTATAGTTTTCCCTAGCTTGTCGTTTTTCCTTTGACTTCCTTTATGATGTTCTCAAACAAAGGCTTAACATTTTTGAGTGGTAAATTTATTTTTTTCTTTGTGACTTCTGGGTCTTATGTCTTGCTTAGAAAGGATTTCCCATTCTAAGATTATAAATAAATTCACCCATTCCTTATTCTAGAACTAATGTGGTTTCCCTTTTATATTTCAATCTTTGACTCATATAGAATATGTTTTGGTATAATGAGGTAAAGATTGTGCTTCATTTTTATTTTCATTTTTCAGAAAGTTAGCCAATTGTCCCAGCATTGTTTATTGAATACAGGAGGCATGGTCAAAGAGTTTTGTTTTTCTTAAACATGTCATTCTCTTACAAGAAAAACTTACTTAAACAATATATTTCTGTTTGTTTATAAATATTTGAAGGTTTCATTCCCAGTCTACTAAATAAATTTAGGGGAAAGGCTATGGACTTTATAACTAGTAGACTAAATCTAGAGAATAAAATGGGGCTCAAGGTGGGACTTCATGGTACCGTATTTCAGATTATTTACTCTTCATTCACATTATATTGTGTTAGCAAAACACAAAAACGAGAGAAATTCACAAGCAACATTGTTAGCTATAGGAAGATAGCTTTAATAAGATATTAAGAGTTTTTATAATGATACATACTTATGTAATGCTAAGGGCTAACATATAAGGTCATTTTTATTGTGATCCTTCAAACTACACATTGAGGTAAGCAAGGTATTCTGTGCATTGGAGAAATTAAGTGACTTGTCCAGGGTCACATTGCTAGAAAGAGGCAGAGCCAGGATTCAAACTCTGGTTTCCTGATTCTGAGACCAATATTCTGTTGACTGCCTTGTGCACTTTGTCATGTCTTGTACTTTAAATGATATGCTATATGAACTCAGTTATGTACACTGAGGCACATTTTAATACATTCAGACTGCAAATTGCAACATGTAATAGGACTTCAGTGAACGAAAGTCCACACAAAGTGAACTTCATTGAGTAATATAATCAACTCTTTGGAATGCCAGTATTTTCAGAGTGATATTAATATGTGGTTGTTAAATTAGATCACAAAAATTGCTTTTCTTTTAAATAGAAAATGTTATCAATCACACGGATGAAGAAGGATTTACTCCTCTGATGTGGGCTGCAGCACACGGGCAAATAGCTGTGGTAGAGTTTCTACTTCAGAATGTAAGGAAAATGCCTCAGAAAATGTATATGTACAGTTACTTAAGCTCAGTTAAGCCTTTAGTAAAGTTTTTGTATCTCCAGTCAGCTAGATATAATGGTAGAGGATACAAAAAAAATTTTAATGCTTTTCATATTCTTGTGGAACTTCAATCTAGTTGGAAAGGCAAGACCAATCATACGTGAAACGGTGAGAAATAATTTAATGCCCAGCCCCCTCTAAGCACAATGAGAACGAGCGTACTGTCAGCTTTGTAGGAGAAGGCTTCATGGAGGAGCTGTGATTTGATTCCAGAGTGAAAGGATAGTTAGGATTAAGATCAACAGAGGAGGAAGGAAGGAAGGCATCCAGACAATCTTAATAACAAGAGCATCCATGAATCAAAGTTTCCATTATTTCTTTATTAACCCCAGAACATTACCTGACTTAGTGTTGAACTGTAATTATTATTGACAGAAATGAAAATATTCTTGTTTAAATTAATCAAAAAGTCTTTTATCTCCACTTCCCACTCCAGGGTGCTGATCCCCAGCTTTTAGGGAAAGGTCGAGAAAGTGCACTGTCATTGGCCTGCAGTAAAGGCTACACAGATATTGTCAAAATGCTGCTTGACTGTGGAGTTGATGTAAATGAATATGATTGGGTGAGTCTATGATACTGAATTTTAAATTACTGTAACAAATTCTAGAATTTCTTTGGTTTGGGGGAGACATAATAAATTTTATTATAAAATAGATAAAGAAGAATAATTAATTGACAAACTAAATACCTAGAAGAAAAAGTTAATGTCATAAGCTCAATTATTAGTTCTGATTTAAGTTTTTGTCCCAAAATACTAAAATTTCCTTAAATTGTTACGTGCCTAATTCTTAGCGAAACTTCTCACAGCAGCATTAAATTATTTGAATCTTGCTCACCCTGAAAAACTCTCAATTACATTTTCCGTTTGCAGAATGGAGGAACACCTTTGCTTTATGCTGTACATGGAAATCATGTGAAATGTGTAAAGATGCTCTTAGGTAAGCAGATAAAAATGAAAACTATTTAGAAAATGCCATGCAAGGACTTTTATCTTTTGAAACTGGTCTCCCCTGGTATTACTCACAAGCATTGACTATTGTTAAATACATTAATCTTGCTGCTGTTCACTCCTAGAGCACCTGCCACCATGGAGCTGCTCACATGAGAAGCAGCTTCATCACACACCACATCTGCAGCTGGGCCTTTTGTCTTTGTTGCTTTCATTTGGGGGTCACATTTGAATCCACCGTTGTTTTCTTTGCCATGTCTTTATGCACAAGCTTTGTTTTTAGTTGTTTATGAGTTTCAGCTGTTCTAGAGGATGCCTGTTTGAAGTGTCTTCCCTCCAATTCACCAAAGTAAATTCTGTGTACCCTGTATACTCTGTACATTGTCAGACCATCCTGAAAATGTTCTCCAAGTTTGCTGAAAATCTGTCCAGCTGTTTGCATATGAGCCAGTAATAGACAAAGATATCCACATTTTTATTTTATTTATGTAGATCTTTCTATTTTGGTATAGAAAATGGAGCTGACCCAACAATAGAAACTGACTCTGGATATAACTCTATGGATTTAGCTGTAGCCCTGGGCTACAGAAGTGGTAAGTATTTTAGAACTCTTGGGTTTCATCTCTGTAAATAGTATAAGCCAGTGGTCCAAGGCATTTTTATCACCTGTAGTCATAAAACATGTTATCCTAACTGCTGACATATACTTCGAACTATGGGAAAAGTCAACAGATTTCTACAAAGTCTAGAAATGAGTTTGTTATTATACTTTTCACCAACTCAAATAATTAGTTACTGGAGGATACATGCACACCTATATACAAGATTTATTTAATATCTTGATAGCAAACCTATTTATAAGATTTATTTAATATTTCAATAGCAAACTTTTTATAGAACAACCTTGTACTCTGGACTCTCCTTCAGTCTCAGAAATTTAGAAAGCAAGACACAGGAAGTCCAGTAATTTGGACAATTACTAAGGCAGTGACAGACTAAGTTTTAAGTTTTTAAAGTATTCTGTTGTATTATCGCCCTCAGACTATGAGGCAATAATAAAGTTATTAGAAATAACTTTATTTTAGGAAAAAATTGGGGATGTTAAGTTGAATTTGATAGTTTTAAAAAAATTTTGTAGTTAATATGCTATGATCTTGATTGCCTATCTGTTCTAGTTCAACAGGTTATTGAGTCACATTTGTTGACGCTGCTTCAGAATATCAAGGAGTAGACATAGTCATCAGAAAATGTTGTCTGCCCTTTCGTTTACCTTTTGGTCCTTATAAATGATAGTTTTGTTTACTTACAAATTTTTACCTCAGTTGCAATATTTACTGATTTTTAGTAAGTTTTAATAAATATTTCTCTGAGCTATTCACTGGTTTATAATAAATTTAATGTTAATACTTTTTTTATAAATGTGTTTTACTGTATATTTAAAATTATAAATTAATGTTTCATGGCATGTAAATTTTTATGGTACAGATGGTTATCTGTCTTTGTATCAAGTGCTGTAATTTGACATTTTCAGAGCTTATTCTACCCCATTCATCTTCACTCTTGTATTAACCCATTGACTTTATATAGGGTTTGATATAAATTCCTAGAAAAAAATTTTTGTTATTGTTGAATTAAAAAGTGCACAGTGTGATTGTTTACAAAATTATATTATAAATAAAGTACTTTTTCTGTCAGCTTGCATGCCAGTTTTTTAAATTGTATAAGATTATTAGAGATTTCTTTAGGATTTTTAATTTATCCCTTCTGTCATGCCATGACACTTCATTAGATCAAATAATATGCATAATTAAAATGAATGCAAGTCAATCAACAAAGACTTATTGATTGTCCTTTCTAGAAGTATATTTAGAATATTTTTCTCTTATAAATAAGTTTTTCAATAGGAAAGTCCTCTGTGAAAGAGAAGTCGGTTTTTCAATGCAAGTGAGATGCTCTTCATTGCCGCTAGAGGGACACTATAAACTAGTATTTCACTCAAGTCTAGAAGAGAGAGCCATGGGCTAAAAAATTGATTTGACCATTGAATTATAGGGCCTGACTTAAATCATTTCATCTGAAAAATAGGTGTTTTGTCAGTTCTGATACTTTGGTTGTCAGCCACATGAACTTGGTCTAGCTAATTTAAGCAAAAGGGAATTCATGGAAAGATACAGAATGGAAGGAAAACTAAAGAAGCAGGCAGTCCCAAAGAATGAAAGTAGACTAGGGATCTCAGTCAGGAAACCATGGTCAGTCATTTTGGACACTGCTATTATCATGTTTAGCTTTAAGCCACATGTTTATCTTTCTGTCCAGGATTTAAATTCCAGGAGGCAGAAATCTGTTTAGCATGGCATGTAAGTGTTCTGCTATACGGACTTGTGGGGAGAAGGGGATGACTGATGAACATTGTCCACCATTGCCCCCAGATCATGTGGAACGTGGGAGGCAAAGGCCACCTAAGAGAAAATTAGGGGTGAAAGAAAAACAATAGATATTTACTCCAAGTGCAATCTAAATACTATGTGAAAATAGTACTAGTGTCTCACCCATTATAAGACATATATTTTAAAATTATTTTCTAGCACTATTAGTGGATTTATAAAACGTAAAACCATTTATCCTTCCATTTGGTTCCTTTTTTTAATTAATGGTACTTATCTATGAAGTGTTAGTTCTTGTTTATATTGTGTGGTAACAAAATCCAATGATCCGTTTGGGCATGTCGCTCTGAGTATTGCTTGCAAGTGCTTTCCCCAGTGAAGAGCAACCAAACCACCTATGCTGGGATTGAATCTAGAATAACCACTTCATCCCTAGTCGGACTCTTAAGGTTGACAGCCAACAAATCTCAGAGAATATCTTGGAAAACATTCCCCTTCCTAATTCTACCATCTTTTAGCCTCAGGGTCCCTGATAACCCTAGAAAAATCCCTGAAGAAATAGATACTAATACAAGTTAATTAAAAGAACAAGAGTGACATTTACGGGCCAGTTATATAAAGTTCCTCTTTTAAAAATCAGATACATTTTAGGTAGTGTTTATTGATTACACAAGTATTTATTCAATTTATATACCAGACACTGTGCTTGGTGCAAGGATAAAATACTAAGCAAAACCAGACATGATCCTGCCACTCACTGGCAGACACTCACTGCCTAGTATTAGGACTCCTTAACACCACAGTGAGAAATACATTGATAAAGAATAACTTCCAAAAGGTTAAAAACCATTATTCTCATGTAAATATAAAATGAATACCTATCAAAGATTTTATTCATTCAATTAGTGAGGAAACCAATACAACATCAAAACTAATTCCAAGAGCATTCACCAAGCTAAGTATTTAGGCAATGTTATTAATAGTATAAGATTGCTGAGTTAGGCTGGCATGGTGGCTCACACCTGTCTTCCTAGCATAGCACATTGGAAGGCCAGGAGTTCGACACCAGCCTGGGCAACTGCGAGAACCACACCCCCCACCCCAGGAGTTTGAGGTTACAATGAGCTATAATGACATCACTGCACTCTAATCCAGACAACAGAGTGAGACCCTCTCTCAAAAAAAAAAAAAAATTACTGACTTAGATGCAAATCTGGTTATTGTCCAACAGAGGTATCAACCACAGCCTTTGAAATTATCTTTTCCATTGGACAGAAATTATTTACATCGTTAGAGGAAAAAATCTGCAAGATAATATATGACTTCACTAAGTCTGGGACCTTTAATTACTAGTAAACAGTGAGTTGAACTAAGGACTTTCCCCTAGATTAATGGTGCTCAAATGTGAGTGCACATCAGAATCATCTGGAGGGTTTGCTAAGATTCAGACTGCTGGACCCGCCCTAGAGTTTCTGATTCAGTCAGTCTGTGGTATGACCCAAGAATTTTCAAATCTAACAAGTTTCAGGTGATGCTGATGCTGCTGGTCCAGGGACCTCATTTTGAGAACTACCATCCTAGATTATCTTTGGATGGCCTCTCAGTATGATATTGAAAGGATGTGCCTCTAACAATGTCATACTGGGGGAGACACTGCAAAGAAACAATAAAAGACAGTTTCTTTATTTTCAAATTTCAGATAATTTTTCTGACAGTCTTCTGGAATCATAAATAACATTCAAAGATTATTCTTAATCACAAGAAAACGGGTCTTGTTAGAGTTGGCCTGATACATGCAGCAATTTAACTCTGTAGGCCTCAAGTGTTATTTGCAAATCTAGAGCCGTAAATTATTGAGCAAGTACTAAGGACAAAAAATTACCTTCTACTCAGAAATTTTCATAATGCATCTCAGACTTTTAAAAGCCTCTGTTGTTTGCTCTTCTAACCCAAGACTAGGGGCCTAAGCCCAAGAAACTCTTTCTACTAGATTTCACCTACCATATCAATAAATCACTGTAAATTCCTATTTTCTCGAGGTCTGCAAAATTTGCTAAGGTCCCTGGCTTTTCAGAAAGTGACGTTCCTCACCACCAGTAAGCCTGGCCAGTTTGCCAGCTTGCCGGTTTGCCAGGGAGGGTTTTGTAGTCATTGGCTCCATATATAAAGTCAACCCCTTGTTCTTTAATATGAAATTCTTATACCTGATTAACAGCACCCTTCTCAAATATGGCAGTGGTTGAACAATCTATTTGTCCAATTATATCCTGGTAAAAAGGACAGATTCTTATAGAACCTATACAAATAAACTATTTTGTCATAAAAAGTACGGAGACTCAAAAGTATTTGTTTCTGAATTCTAGGGACATCAGTAAGAATGAGATACAATTTAGAATGTTTCAATTCAGTTTATGTATGCATAGTCTATTTAATTGAAGGTTAGGGATAGCTTAAGAAGAAGGAGAATGGGCTTCTTCCTACATCCATAAAAAAATAAAAAATACTACAACAGTATTCCACACAATATAGCCACAATAAAAATTTCTCTTATCAGTTCATTCAGTCCCGTGTAATTAATTCTTATTTCCCAGGATCTTGTGTCAAGAAGTGAGCTAGCTACGGGAGGCTAAAGCAGGAGGAGGCTGAGGCAGGAGAATCACTTGAGCCCAGGAGTTTACGGTTACAGTGAGCTGTGATCTTGCCACTGCACTCTACCCAGGGCAACACAGCAGGACCCTGTCTCAAAAAAAAAAAAAA